AGAGACAGAGAGACAGAAAGTGAGAAACCACCTCCCAGGGGGATGGCCACACTGCAATCTCTACACCTTCATTCTCAGAATTTGGGGCACATGCATACACATGCACCTGGTATGAGTTTTAAGTCACTGGGTTCGGGACTTGAACTGTGGTCGACTACATGGGAGTCCAGCTACATAACCATTACACCATCTGCTGGTCCCTGGAAGTCTTTTTTCATAGTAAAAATGCTAAATCAGGGCCTGCTAGGTGGTATGGTGGTTAAGATAGCTGGATCCTACTTGGATCTTACTTGGCCAACTGTGTGATTTCAGTCCCATGCCCAGTGGCTTGTAAAAAAACAAAAAAAAAAAAAAAAAAAAAAACGCTGTGCATGCTCCCCCAAAAATCCTAAGAGGAGAATAGAGAAGGGACTGTGGAGTGGTCATTCTCCTCTCTGAGGGGAGGACTACTTTCTCACATTCTCTCTGGTGAGCACACCTGCCCTATAGCAAATAAAAACAATTTTATCTTATTTATTTTTTATTATTAAAGATCACATGGTCACTCCCAAAAATAAAGAAAATATGATGAAAATAAATAACACATGCACTCAGAGTCCATCATTTAGCAAATTATATTGACATATTTCTTATGACTGAAAATATATATGTATAAATATATATAAAAGATGAGTGGAGTATACAGTTAAGAGTTGAGGGCAAGGCTATGACTTATCAACTAAGGGACCTTTTTTGTAATAACTAAGCTTTTCTAAGCCTCAGGTTCTTTGTGGGTATAAGTTAGGGTACTATTTAGTCATGGAATGTGAAGACGACATGAGTGAAGCATGTAAAGTGCCTAGCATTCAGTGTGAACTTTCACGGCTATGTTAAATAGAAATATCAATCAATTTATTTATTAGATATTCTATTTTATTTATTTATTAAATATGCATATGTTTACCAGAGAGAAAGGGAAAGTGAGAAATCATCTCCCAGAGGGTATGGCCACTCCATGATCCCTTCTCCATTCTCTTGTCAGGATTTGGGGCACACATGTACATGGTTCCTGGAGAGACTTTCAGGCCACCAGATTTGGGACTCAAACAGTGGAGTAGGCATGTGGGATCCAGCACCTTTACTACCATGCCAACTGCTGGTTCTAAACAACATTTTAAACATGGCAGATATATATATACTTATATATATATATTTTTCACTTAACATTTTAGATAGGATTTTTCTGTGAGAAGCTTTTAAACAGAAATTGCATAATACAACTTTTGTAAGTAATTAGTATAGTGTGTAGAAAAGACTAGAGGCAGAAACTGAAACTGGGACAAATTAATAATTCAAACAAGAGACAACGATAATGATCATTTCAAGTTAGAGCAAGAAATAAAGAAATGAAGAGAAGAACACGGATTTAGTAGAGATGAAGGTGCTGAGAAAAATCTGACAACTGTGTATGAAAAAGGAGCAATATAAGAGAACATGGATTTAGTAGAGATGAAAGCAGTGAGAAAATCTGACAACTGTGTACGAAAAAGAAGCAACAGTAATTCCAAGGAAGAACATGGGATGCTGGCTTAGAAGACTGACTGGGAGTTGACACATTTATAAAATAAGATATACGGGTAAATGGGATGGCTTTGGGAATGCTGATTTTGGTATATTCTGGTTTAAAATATATGACATTTGAATCTATTGGGTCATTGGGAAAGTCATGATGTATTCCATATAGAAAAATAAGTCATAACTTTTCCAACGATCCAATAGTATTTGGAACACAAAAAGAGGAGTGATATAAAGATGTGGGGTTTATTAGACATCCTGAAGCACAAGAAAATGGTATATGTAGAATGAAAAGTAAACAATATTTACTGACGAGGTAATGTAAGAATCTTGTTGGGATACTGAGCCTTAATGATCTGAGAGATAAATATAAATTAGTTGATTTATAACAACTCAAAAGTGCAAATCAGGGAACCAGCAGTTAGCGTAATGGCTATGTCACTGGACTCCCACGTAGTCGACCGTGGTTCGTGTCCCGGACCCGGTGGCTTAAAACTCACGCCAGGCGCGTGTGCGTGCATGCCCAAGATCCCGAGAGGAGAATGGAGGAGAAGGGATTGCGGCGTGACCATCCCCCCTGGGGGGGTGATTTCTCGCTTTCTGTCTCTATGTCTCTCTCTGTCTGTCTGGCGAGCGCACGCGCCCTACAGTGAAAATCTCTCTCAAAAAAAAAATGCAAATCACAGGTATTTAAATATCTTCCACTAAGATATTTATGCTATGGTTTAAATATATTTTCCCAAAAATCATTAAAATTCAGTTGCAATGGTATTAAGAGGGTGGCAACTTGATCCAATTATTGGATTAAGAGGTGGAGCCTTTGGGAGGTTATCAGAATTAGACAGAGTCTTCAGGGTGGGGCCACATCATTGATTACCTATGGGTTCATAAGGAGAGAGAGTCCAGACATACAAACCCAGACACCAGCTCTCTTTTTCTCATCGTGTGATGTCCTGTGCTGCATTAGGACTGTGCAGAATCTCCACAAAAAACCCTGTGCAGATGTGGTCTGTTGATTTCAGACCTCCAAAACACTGAGCTACATTAACTTTTATTCTTTATAAATTACCCAGTCTGTGGTATTGTTACTAAGCAACAGAGAATAGCCTAAAACAGTTTATGTGTGTGTAGGTTTTCTGTTTGTTTGTTCATTTGTTTTTAGGTTTCATTCCATAGGGTGCATGTGCTTGAAGAAGAGACAGAAAGAGGGTAAGTGAGAAATCACCCCCTAGTGGAGATAGTGCTGCTGCAGTCCCTTCTCTGCTTTCCTTCTGAGATTTTGGGCATGCATACACATGCACCCAGTCTGATTTTCAAGTTATTAGGTCTGGAACTTGAACCACAGTAGGTCATCTGGGAACTCAGCACCTTAAACATAACACCACCTGCTGGCCACAGATTAAAACAGTACTAACGGTTTAAAAAAAAATAAAAACAGAGAAGACTTGAGATGGAGAAGGGAGAATGCTGAGGTGTATCTGTATTTTGAAGAGATCGGACAATTTGTGACTTAGGTACAGAAAGATCAAAAGGACTAACCAATGAAACACGATGCCACAGGCATCTGAGGAGACCAGCAAAAGCATGGGTAGAAGAACTTAGTGGTATTCAATAAGTTATGACATGAATTAGATTAACTGATCAATGAATGTGGGTCTTTTTTTTTCCACTGCCAGTCTCTTTTATTGGCCACTCAGAGCTACATTAGCTGCTGCCACCAGGAATTCTGCTTTTCCTTGTACTGCCCTTTCTGTGTCTCCCAGCTCTGCAGAGCTGGCTCCCAGGAACACAGGCCTTGGTCCCAGTGCTCTGGGAGCAAAGGGCCCTGATGGCTCTGCACCGCCTGCCGGAAGCTGCGCCTGCCAGGCCTGCACAAAGGAAACCCCAAAGCCTGGTATGAGCGTTCCCAGCCTGGGCCGCGAGGTCCCCGGCACGCCAAGGAGTTTATAGGAAATGTGAGTGGCAGCTGCAGGTACAGTGTAACCTGGGCTGTCAAAATCCCTCCACGTTGCTCTTGCATGCAGTTGGAGAACCCATGGCTACCAGCAGTCACAGCCCTTGGAAACATGCTGATGAATGTGGGTCTTAAAGGCATTACTTAAAAAGTAATCAACTGAAGCGCAAGTAAACAGCAAATTTAAAAGACAAACTCCAAGTCACAATACATCAATAACATAGTTAATGTATTAATTTATTTTTTTGAGAGGTTTTTGCTATAGGGCACATGCACTTGCCAGAAAGACAGAGAGACAGACAGACAGACAGAAAGCGAGAAATCACCCTCCAGGGAGGATGGTCATGCCACAATCCTTTCTCCTATATTCTCCTCTCGGGATCTTGGGCATGCACTCACAAGCGCCCGGTATGAGTTTAAGCCACTGGGTCTAGGACTTGAATCGCGGCTGACTACGTGGGAGTTTAGCGATGCAGCCATTATGCTAACTGCTGGTCCTGATTTTTTTTAAAGCAATCAGAACATCCCTAATTTTAGCCAACATAAGCCGCTGATCAACATCTTTGATTTGTAAACCAGATGAATACTATCAGTCTGTGGATCCTTTAGAAGTCAGCTCCAGGGAACCAGCAGTTAGCGTAATGGCTATGTCGCTGGACTCCCACGTAGTCGACCGCGGTTCGCGTCCCAGACCCGGTGGCTTAAAACTCACGCCGGGCGCGTGTGCGTGCATGCCCAAGATCCTGAGAGGAGAATGGAGGAGAAGGGATTGCGGCATGACCATCCCCCCTGGGGGGTGATTTCTCGCTTTCTGTCTCTATGTCTCTCTCTGTCTGTCTGGCGAGCGCACGTGCCCTATAGCGAAAATCTCTCCAAAAACAAACAAAAAAAGAAGTCAGCTCCAAAGGGGACCAGCAGTTAGCGTAATGGCTATGTCGCTGGACTCCCATGTAGGTGATTTCTCGCTTTCTGTCTCTATGTCTCTCTCTGTCTGTCTGGCGAGCGCACGTGCCCTATAGCGAAAATCTCTCCAAAAACAAACAAAAAAAGAAGTCAGCTTTAAAGAAATTCCACTACCTTTGATTAAAGAGTGCCAAGAATGAGAATAAAAACTTGGTTTCTAGCCACATACCAATGAATTTAACTGGATTTAAATTTTAAATAGCAATATATAGTTTTATTTTGTTAAAGAATTATCCTTCCTTCTTTTCTCCCTTCCTTCCTTCCTTTCTTCTTTCTTTTAACTTGACCAGAGAGGGACAGAGTGAAAGAAAGAGAGGGAGAGTGAGAAAGCAAGCTCCCATGGTTAAAGGAGTCCAGCGTCCTTAATCACCATGCCACCAGTCGGCCCCAGTAATACAGTCTTATAGTCAAAATTCCAAGCATTTCAGAAGTATAAATATTCATATTATTTGCTACAGATGCAAATGTTAGTATCTTCTGGTAATTATTAACTTTGTTAAAGTCAGAGAAAAGTAACTGATTTTTTTTTTTTTGAGAGATTTTCACTATACGGCGCGTGCGCTCGCCAGACAGACAGAGAGAGACATTAGAGACAGAAAGCAAGAAATCACCCCCCAGGGGGGATGGTCATGCCGCAATCCCTTCTCCTCCATTCTCCTCTCGGGATCTTGGGCATGCACGCACACGCGCCCGGCGTGTTTTAAGCCACCGGGTCCGGGACGCGAACCACGGTCGACTACGTGGGAGTCCAGCGACATAGCCATTACGCTAACTGCTGGTTCCCAAAAGTAACTGATTTTAAAAATACATATTAAATAATTAATTTACAGTGGAAGAAGTTACTCCCTGTTCAATTTTCTTTAAATCCTCTGATTACTTAAAGGAAAGGGTATAAAATTGGTGCTTATATGCTAATTTAGTGCTTGATCATTTCTGTTTTTAACCAAGAAAGAATAGCAAACTAGATAGTATACCACAATAGCAGAGTCTTCAAAGGGCAATGTGTTTAGCTGGAAATTAATAACATTATTGCCTTCTACTTCTGGCAAGTAACATTGATTTTCCATTTAATGTAGTAACAGAAAACTTACTTTCAAAGTACATTTGTGGGACCAAAAGATGATATAATGGTTATGTTGCTAGATTCCCACATGGCCAACCGCAATTCGAGTTTCAGACCCAGAGGCTTGAAACTGACGCTGCACAGGTATGCGTGTGTGTCCAAAATCCTGAGAGGAGACTAGAGAAGGGATTGTTGCATGTCCATCTCCCTGCTGCAGGGGGTGATTTCTTGCCTTCTGTCTCTCTGTCTCTCTGGCAAGCGCACATGCCCTATAGTAACAATCTGTCTCTCTCTCAAAAAACAAACAAACAAACAAACAAAAAAACAACTTGGGCTAACTGGTGGCATGGTGGTTAAGGAGGCTGAATCCCATATGGCCAACTGCGTAATTTAAGTCTCAGACCCAGTGGGCTAAAGAACACACCAGGTACAGGTGCATGTGCCCAAAATCCTGAGAGTAGAATGGAGGTGAAGGATCTGCGGCATGGCTATTCCCTCCTGAGGGTACCATTTCTCATTTTCCCTTCCTCTCACTGTCTCGCTTTGGTGAGCACACACCCTATACCAAAACTAAAATAAATAAATAAAAAAAACCCTAAGTAAAAATGGTGAAATTCTTTACATATATTTACATGAATTTATATATAGTAAATAAATAATAGTGGGCATTATATGGGAAAAAATGATAACCATAGTACACAAATGATTAAGAACTGCTCATCTACATTAAATGTAAATTTTGCACTATCAGTATTTTAAATCAGACTACTCATCAAAGAAGTCAAAATTGTATAGAAAAGAGAACAATGACCTATGGCCAAAAGTATAAATGTAAGAAGTATAAATTCAGCCTAAGCATGGTGGGAGGGAGAAGGTCTTCAAAAGTTTGTGAAAATGCATATTTTGGACAAATTTGCATGAATTTAAAGCTATCTTTGCACCAAAATAAACTCTGTACTTGAATTCTACTTTTCCTCGAATCTTTTGAATTCTCTGTCATTTGTGACTTAACAACAGAGATAGGCTCTGAGAAATATGTTCTGAGTTAGGTGATTTATTCTTTTTATTTTTAAGAAAAATCTTTGCTATAGGGTGTGTGCACTTGCTGGAGAGATGGAGACAGAAAGAGAGAAATCTCTCCCATAAAGGGGATGGCCACACTGCAATCCCTTCTTCTCCATCCTCCTCTCGGGATTTTGGGCATGCATGTACCTGGTGTAAGTTTTAAGCCACTGTGTCTGGGCCTCAAACCACAGTTGACTACATGGGAATCCAGTTATGTAACCATTATGTCACCTGCTCCTTCCCTTTAAAAAAAAAAAAAACTGTTCATTTTATTTATTATTATTATAATTTTTTGAATTCAGCTAGAGAGAGACAGAGATACAAAGGTAGTGAGAAAGCAAGCCACCACATCTGGGATTCAAATCACAGTTGGTCATGTGGGAGCCCAGTACCTCAACCACCACACAGTCCTTAGGTGATATGCCTTACGCGAACACTGTAGAGTATATTTTCATAAACCTAGATGGTACAGCCTATTACACACTTTGACTATAAGGGGTAACCTAGATGCTTTTTCTTTTTTTTAAGAATTATTTTAACTTTATTTATTATTATTGTTGTTATTATTTTCCAGTTTGACCAGAGAGAGACAAAAAGAAAGAAAAAGAGGGAAAGCGAGAAAGGAAGCCACCAGGTCTAGGACCTGAACTACGGTTGGCCATGAGGGAGTCCAAAGCCTTTAAACACCTGCCAACTTCTCTAGATGTTTTTTCTTATGGGACAACTGTTATACATGTGATCCATGATTGACTGAAATGTTATCAGTACATGACTCATTTTTTTTTAAAGAATTAATTAATTAATTAATTTTTAATTTGCCCAGAGAGGGACAGAGCAAGAGAGGGGTGGGAGGAGTGAGAAAGCAAGTGGGCAGGTCTGGCACTCAAATCGCAGTCAACCATATGGGAGAGTCCAGTGCCCTTAACCATCGTACCACCTGCCAGTCTGGTCATTTATTTTCTTAAAGATTAATATTGTGCTTCTCACAGCTTTTTCTGATCTTGAATCTATACCAAGACATACACATTAAATTTAATTCGAAAGAAAATTTTAGGATGATTTCTATTTCTCACTTTCCCTGTCTCTCTCTTACAAGTGTATGCACCCCATGGCAAAAACCATATATATGTAAAGTCTGTTTATTTAGTAAAGAACACTTTTCTAATATATACCTTTAGAAAGGACTGTTACTACTCCACTTAAATTTCCCTCTAATTTTACTAAATAAGTTACCATAGTTCTCTGCCTCCTTCCCCTCTGTATAAACTGATACTCTCTTCCCAGGTTTCACGTAAGTTAGTTAACCTTCCTGTTTAAGTAGATTTTAAAGGTTGCATGTGACAGCCACATACTAGATAATATTACAGAATGCCAGAGTACGGACAGGAATATGGAGATTCCTCCTGGTATATCTATCCCTTACTATCCCCCCCCTCAATTTTTTAATGCACAAAAGGATTATGGCAGGCAAGAACAAACTAAGTTCATGTGCTTGGCAGTGTGCTTCTGTTTATAGAGAACGTGCTGTTAAGGGCAAGGCCTCTACCATGGTACAAGGAACACAAAAAGTAATACATCCAGGACAAAGCTAGGTTATTCTTTGAGTCTTTACTGTAGGACATTACTAACTACTCATTCCCTTTTTTTTCCCCTTCAACCAATTGAGTATTATTTGTTGTATAAACCAAACCAACTAACATCTTTAAGGTGAAAAAACACTAAATTTGAATAAAGATATTACAAAATGAATTAGAGCCCAGTAAAAATTAGCTTTAGGGAGGGAACATAATTCTACTCAATTAAGGCAAACATGTTTATAGACCACAGATTACTTTATTTTTAACACCCATCATGCCATGAATTCATAGGGAATAGGTTCCAGTAGCTCAGGCTCCTTTCCATTGGTTCTCACAAAGTGTGCGTCTCTGGGTGGAGCAGGCTGGTGCTTTAGTTGAACCCAGGTACCTTTCTCTTTGGCTTCTTTCTTTTTCTGGTCATTTTCCTTCACATGTTTTAGGAAGCTATCT